GTGTGTGTGTGTGTGTGTGTGTGAGTGTGTGTGTGTGTGTGTGTGTGAGTGAGTGTGTGTGAGTGTGTGTGTTTACCTGTAGCTGAGCGGTGTGCTGGTTGAGTTTGGAGCTGAGCTGCTGCACTGTGTTGCTGTAGCAGGTGACATCCAGCGGCAGGAGTTGATCATGCGACAGTCTGAGAACCATCAGACCCACCAGCTCAGCTACAGCTCGACCCACTGACCCCAGACGACCCTGAAGAAGCTCCTGCAGCCGACCCACGCTGTCCAGCTGAGTGTTGACGAACGGATACGAACGAGCCTCCTGAAGACACAGAGACCGCTACTATTCCTCACATACACCACTGATTTTTAATGTAGTTGAAAGAAGTCTCTTCTGCTCACCAAGGCTGCATTTATTTGATCAAAAATACAGTAAAAATAGTGAAATATTATTAGAATTCCAAACAGCCGTTTTCTATGTGAATATCTGTTAAGCTGTAATGTATTTCTGTGATGCGCAGCTGTATTTTCAGCATCATTACTCCAGTCTTCAGTGTCACATGATCTTCAGAAATCAGTGTAATATGCTGATTTGCTGCTCAAGAAACATTTCTGATTATTATCAATGTTGAACACAGTTGTGCTGCACAATATGTTTGTGGAAACTGTGATGCATTTTATTTTTCAGGATTCACAGATGAATAGAAAGTTCAAAAGAACAGCATTTATTTGATATAGAAATTTTTTCTAACATTATAAATGTCTTTACTGGCACTTTTGATCAATTTAATGCATCCTTGATGTATGCATTTTTTTTTTTTATCTTAAAATAACACAAAATGTTTATTTTTGTGTTTAAGTCAGGTACGTTTTCTATGAGTCATAATCAGGCTCATTTTGGCATTTTGGAGGCATTTGTACACTAAAGTATGATTATTTAAATCCACTCTGTAAAAATGATTATCTAAATAAAGATTGTTGGAGTACATTTTAAGAGAAAAGACTATTTCAGTCTTTCTACTTCAAAATTTCACAATTCATTCAGTGTTACTTACTATTTCTTAGTAATTATTTGTGAAATTTATTTCTGCAATTTCTGAGTAAAAATTGTTTTAAGTAGTGCATTAATTCCAGAGACTTCCAGATAAATTCATCTCCGGAATCTCATTTTACATTTACATTTCTTAATTTAACATACGCTTTAATCCAAAGTGACTTATGAATGAGAATCAATCATGAACAGCACTCAGAAAAGTAACAGATGTCATGTGACTCTAATTTTAAACCTGATTCTGACCGACTTTAATAGACATTTAATTGAAAATTAGACATCAGAGTTCACTTTACTTCAGTGAAATGCAGCTGCATGGCAGGAACTCCTCCGAACGCTGTGAAACTGTACGCGCCGCTGTTCAGATACAACGGCTTCACTCTGCAGAAAACAAACACGACAGATGAACGGGAATCAGAGCGAACCTCAGGAGAGCAGACTCATCTGAAAGCAGGGACTCACATGTTCCTCCAGCCGCCCTGCCGCTGCACCAGAGAGAGAATCGACTGACCCGTGTGTTTGGGATGCTCCACCTGAGACACACACTCACCGTGAGATATCAGGGATCATTTACTGAACCCAGCCAGTGCTTCTCAAACCACATGTTTCTGGTTTGTAACATTTCAGAAAGAATCAGAATCAAGAATTTCAGAAACGCCACAGAACTCTGTAAGAAGAAGCTGTAAGACACACAAACTTGTTTGAGGGCTCCTTCGATGAGATCGGCGAGCAGAGGACTGGTGTAGACTGAGAGGATATCATCACCTACACACACACACACACACAGAGAGAGAGAGAGACACACACAGAGACTCCCGGCTGCCCTAGAAACACATTTCCT